TTCACGACAGCTTTGAGAGTCAGGAATGTGATTTTAGTGGTTTGTTTAAAAACAGACACTGATAACGACTTTATTTTGCCTACAGGACTGTGATTGTTGGTTCTCAGTATCGTACAGTGCTACCTGTGCATTATGCCGAGCTGATTCTTTACCTCAACCGTGTGTCTGACCTTGCTTTTAAGTGATCTCTGTCAGTGCCGTCAGCCCCGTCACTAAGAGGCTTGCAGGCAGCGGATCAGTTTAGCACAGCCTCACCTGACTAATCTGATTACTTCAACAAGGCTGCTATCAATGTGCAAGACAGGACCAAAAAAAGACTAGCGCATCATACATACGTAAGGGACCATGTTCATGCACAGAACATTTAGCTGAGGTCCCTGAAGCTGCGCTAAATCTGTGTGCTGTCTCCTTAATGAGCTTTTTTGAATGTACATGTTCCTTTAATGGACAGTCCCCCTCCCCCCAAAGCCTTTCTTTCCAGCTGTAGTGATCTGTACATGGGTAAAAAAAAGCAACAGCACACTTTCAGTAGCTTACCACAAGATATATTCAGCCCTCAGCTCCAGCTCAGATACATAAGACCTTTATTAGCATTGCTAGTATGTAACACTGACTTCTGATCAGCCTCAGGGAGGGAGACGACACATGTGTCAGCAGGAGCATGAAGAAATGTGGCTATTAAAGATCAATATAACAATGTACTACTATTGTACATTTACTGAATGAAGTACCATAGGTATAAACATGAGATTTTTGATGTAGATTAAATGATCATACATGTAATGTAAGTACACCTTAATTATGTGGGTTTATAGAATATTAATTGGCAGAAATATTGCTTATTTTGTGTAGAAATATTTCACAATTCCAGCTTATAAAATGTACTGATTTTATTACAATTACTTTCTTTCTGCTATGAGTACTTTTATTCCCAGTACATTTTCTTGACTGAAATACTTTTACTTGAGTTCCCTTCTCAGTCCAGTACTTTTACTTGTAATTCAGTATTTTTAGTAGTACTTTTACTCTGAATACTTCTTCCACCACTGCAATTTACCATGAAAATGTTCTGGTACTTTATCTGGTGTTACAAGCCAATCTTTAATTCCTAAACACTGGGTTTTAGCCGTGCTTAATTCCAGTTAGCATTTTTAGCTAGAGCAGAGCAAAGAGCATCAGCGAAAGTCCCAGAAGGATTTGAGCTGCAGCTGAAGGGTTACAGAGGGCAGCAGATGCAGCGGCTTAATCACTGCAGCAGTTTCAGGCCTCAGGTGTTCACATGCACTTCTATAACTTAAGGTAGCCATCAGACATAAGTATTCATCATTAATATTACAATATTAATATATTATTTTATTTGTTTCGTTGGTACTTTGTGGACATACAAAGAATACAACTAGGGATATTTCAGAGGTGGAAGAAGTAGTCAGATATGTGTCTTAAGTAATGTAGCAAAAACCCATTAAAAAAATACTCAAGTAAAAGTAATGTATTCAAAATCGTACCTAAGTAAAAGTACAAAAAGATACTTAAAGTACCAAAATTAAAAGAACTCGCATCAATTTCTGAATCATATTAAATTACTGGATTATGATTATTGATGCATTAATACGTTCATCACAATGAAGCTAATTTTACAAACATTATGTACTGCTGCTGGATATTTTAACTCATAATTGTATGTCAATGTTTAGTTTATTTATATGTTGTATTAGCTTATAATCTGAATTCATACAATACAATAAAAATACTCTGGTAAAGCGCAAGTACCTTAAAGTTACATTATCTTATGTGTTTCAGTTGCACTAAATCTTACCCTTTTTAAGGTTATTTGAAATGTGCTATGTGTGCAGTAATGTAATAGTGTCCTTGTTCTGGCACAACAAATCCCATAAATCCTCACACCAGCAAATCATGATTAATCACTATCATTTCCCTTCCCTCCTAATAAATAAGAGAATAAATCAGTGCCTATTTTGACTGTTAAAATAGCTCATTAATTATTCAGTCTAAATAGTCGTTTGGTTTTAAGTCATGTAGAAATGTTCTTGGTTACAAAAGCCCCACACACTGTCTAAGCAGCACACTGAACACACCTCTACTTTCACCTTCTTTTCTTCCCCTCCTGCCCTCCCCCACACACTGTCTTCCCACACTTCTGTGGATTAAAAGCTAAAGAGGGCTGAGAAGTCAAGGCTTGGCAGTTCTTTCCCACTCTTACCTGTTACTTATTCACAGCTCTTTGCCAGTGTTTTACCAATCCAGACGCTGGTAACATAATCCCTGATTCTGAGGTGTGGGGTGTGTCCCAGTCCAAATCAGGAGCTCAATCGACTGCTGGAAATGAAGACATTTTTCATTTTCAATATGTCTCTAAGGGCCTTGGAATCAAGAGGTGATAATTAGATGGTTTTTTTTATTTTAACTTCTCATGCGATTTGGATTACCTGATGATATTTTTTCCCAGTGAAAGGACAAGTACTTCTGTATACTTAATCCAGCTGGAGTTTGGATGGTACTATTCAGCGACAGGCTGCAACATCGACATGGCTCCTGCAGGATGTAGAGAAATTGCTCCAGGTCAGATCTTTCTCTTAATAAATCTGTCTAATTGATTGTCTTTATATCGATGTAACCCTATTTAAAGTAATATATAGCTTTGTTAATGTACATTTTCATACAGTATCCTTTTAGCCATGTACCAATCTGCAGCAGAGCTACTCCAGCAAGGATAGGACTGTTGAAATGCTGGATTGTCCAATCCTTTAATACATTTTGATTGACTCTAACAAAGACACTCCATATGGGTAATTCAAAAAGACTTTAGGACATGGCTAGCATAAAAGTAAGCACTCCTCTTAGCCTATTAGGAACTGATAAGCCAATGTCAGTATTAGCACTTGAGAAGGCTTGTTGGCTGCGTATTAACTCAAAGGCAAATAATCAAACAGGCTCCTTTCGTGACGTTCAAGAGTGTTTCTTCATCCATTGAAACCCACATGTGGTTTACATGTTGATTAAGGAAAGAGATGTAAGGTTTGAGATCATTTTGAAACATTGGAACTATAACACAGTTTGTCCACCAGAGGGCACTGACAAATCCATCTTTTAGCTGTAAAATATCCGGCTTAGGCCACAGGTCGTATACTCCGAAGCAGGCAAAGTAGTTTAGTTTTCACTCCTTTCTTGTCCCGTTTAGAGGACGCTCTAAAGCTACCAGTTTTAGCATAGTGTCACAACAAAGCAGGGGTACGTGAATGTTGCCTTCAAAGCCTACGCGTACACCCTCTGATGACAATATCTACGTAACTTGGAAACTTCTGTAAAAGTTTTAACAGTGTTTTGTATCTTTGTCATAATTTGTTCTCAATTTAGTTTTGAATCCATACATATACTGTATGAAATAAGTGGACGCAGTTCCCGTGACTTCACATTTTCGAGGATGGCAAAAGCGCCATTTATGTTTTCTGAAACCAGTAGGGACAAGAGACACAAACAAGACATTTTTACACATCTACACATTTTACAATTTACTTTCATGCATAAAAAACACAAAAGAGTTTAATTTCTTAGTCGAAAAAACCAAACGACCCTGTGGTAGTGACCTGTCAATCACAAGGTAGCCCCGCCCTAATGCATGCAATGCTTTATTTTGTGTTTTCATCTTTACGGGACCATAATCTACTAAATGAATATCCTGCTGTGTTGAAGAAGATTTCAAACTAGCAAATGAAACCATGAACTAATAAGTCAAATGTTTATCGGGATAATTATCCAGTGAGAAGTAGGAACATTTTCTTATAGACTTCTATACAAGCAGTACAAAAGTGCAGATGCCCCCTGCTGGTCAAATAGTGCAGGTTTGCAGATTTTTTTGCAGGGTATTTTTTATGCTGTGTCATGTGATTTGGTAAAAAAAAACATACCATGACTTCTTTGAAAATCAACATCAGCCTTATAAAACCTATGATCAGTGGAGCTAAATTATAAACAGAGGACACGAGATAGCACGAGATAGCACGAGATAGCTAACATTCTTTTGCAATTTTTTCAGAATGTTTAGCTGTGGACTAAAATGTTTTAGTTGTCTCTGTAAACCACATTTATATTGGTGTAACCGTTTTATTTATTTTAAGCTCAACTTTATACTTCACAAGCTACGCTCTGATATGTAGCCTGAGCTGCGACTACATTTCTCCTCAACTCTGGCAGTTTGGACTTTTGCTGTCAATGTTAACATGTTCTACAAGAAGTAAACGCTTGGTTTGTCTTTTAGTTAAAAGCAGGATTTAAAATTAGGTTTTTAAAGCATACTCGGCTGGGTAACATTAGATCAGGAAAATGTCAATTTGTTGCTGACAGTAAATTGAAGAGACTCAGTTAATGTTGAAGGATTAGACTGTCTTTTCTAATTCAACTTGTAACACCAGTGTAAACTCCACTAAAATATGGTTTAATCCTGAGATATATTTTTAGCAGCTTGTAAGAAAAATGCTTGTTTCCAGAATCTCAAATCATTAAGACATGCCTGTTGAAAGGGAAAATAGCAACTAAGCTAACTATAGCAACCTAACCAGATTTAGCTCCACGTTAACAGGCACTTGATATCTTAAACTCCCTGTGCCCCGGCAGAGCTTATCAGCTTGTAACAGGCAAGCTGATGCTGATAAGATTCAACATCAATTTCTGTTTAAGGTTACAGCTCAACAAGATGCAAGTTGAGGTCAGGTTTCACATCTGTACCCTGACCTTTTAATTTGGGGTGTCTTTGCTCGTTTCACAAAGTAAAAACTGATCATGCTGAATAGAGGAAACTAATATTTTCCTAATTCTATTCCTTCTTCTTTTTTTATAGTGGCAGTGATGGCTCAGGGTCATCTCGTCGCCTGTACCAAGGCCTACTGAGTGCCGGGAGACAGTCCTATTCACCAAGACACAGTCCCTGTCACACACATCACCAACAACTCTCTCTAAAGCATCAGAATAGCTGTGTGAGGAAAATGGCAAGTCACAGAGACCCTCGCTTTCTGCACAACCTGTCCTACCACCCACGATGGCAGCACGACTCTATAAAACTGAAGAGAAAAAGACACGCTCGAACAGTAGCTTTGAACATTTGCAGTAGAAATAGTCTGTTTAAATCAATAGCAGCTTCATCATCTAAACCACAGTTGCCATCAGATCCTGTGCAACGCTCCAGGAGCTGGTTCAGGAGCAGGCTTTTTCTGCCCTTACTCATGCTCACATTTCTGCCCTGTCAAGCCTGGGCGACCACTTTCAAGGTGGCCCTGGTTGGACCCTGGACGTGTGACCTGCTGTACTCCAAGTCTCTCCCAGACCTGGCCGCCAGCCTCGCTACCGCCCGCATCAACAAGGACCCCTACCTCAACAAAGGCTACTGGTACGACTACACGCTGGTCAACGAGGACTGCAAGTCTTCCCGTGCTATGGCTCGCTTTGCGGAGCTGGACGGTCATGGTGCTGCTTTCCTCGGTCCAGCGAACCCAGGCTACTGCTCCTCCGCTGCTATGTACACCAGAGAGTGGGATCTTGGGATTCTCTCCTGGGCTTGCCTGAAACCCAACATGAATAAACTGGGCATGTATTCCACCTTCCAGCGGCCGCTTCCTCTGTCGTCCCGCGTGCTTTTCAACGTGTTGCGGTTCTTCAGTTGGGCCCATGTGGCTGTGATCTCAGAGGAGACAGATTTATGGGAAGCAACCGGACAGGAGCTGGCCTCTTCTTTGAGGGCTCTTGGTCTGCCTGTAAACCCTGTGGTCACCATGTTCTCCGACAAGGACGGGCCGCGGAAGGCGCTGACAAAAGTGCGGGAAACAAACCGGGTCAGAGGTGAGTGTTGGAGGACCTTTTTTGTATGTCTAATTTACGATAAGATAAGATAAGAAGTACTTTATTGATCCAAAGTTAGGAAATGTTTGTGTTGCAGCAGCATAAAAAGACATGGCATTGTACAATCCAATTAAAAGACAAGAAATAAACATTTGAAAATGTCAAGATTCAAGGCTTTTATTGTCATATGTACATAGCTACAGTGTAGTTAGGTCACAGGTTCTCAACATCTCAATAGCAATAAAATAGCAAAAAAATTCGAATTACACATTTACAGTGACAAAATATAAAGCAGGATATTATATATACCTAAATATGTGAGTAATGGAATATTAAATATTAGATTGGATGTAAATATGAAATGTACAGTGTGATTTAGAGTCCAAGAAGCTATGGAGCAGATAGTTCTCTTCCAGCCAGTGGTGATTTGTTATATAGAGTTAAAGATAAAGTATAAGAACATATTAACCATCATGTATTTTAATTTCTTACATATAAATAACGTATGTAATCCTTCCTCTCCACAGTTATCATTATGTGCATGCCTTCTGTCCTGATTGGAGGCCAAGCCCAGTACCAGCTTCTGACCACAGCGTTGGACATGCGTATGATCGACCGCGGTTACGTCTTCATCCCCTACGACACCCTCCTCTACTCACTTCCCTACAAGGGGACTCCCTACTATATGCTGGGCAACGACACCAAGCTGCGGAAAGCCTATGACGCGGTCCTCACCATCACCATGGACTCTGGAAAACGCAACTTCTACGAGGCCTTCAAAGACGCTCAGGACAGCCATGAAATCCGCAGCAGCTCCAAACCAGAGCAGGTGAGACCTCTATTGTAGATTTAACGATACGATACGATAATACTTTAATGGTCAGATCAAGTCTGAAATTTGACTTGCATCACAGCAGCTCCATGTGTGACATCAACATATACACATATCAAGACGCAATACATGAAAAACAAGCAACACACATTTAACATAACAGCACAATCACTGAGAGAAAACATGCTCAAAGACCCTTCAGCGTGCATTTGATCTGGATTCAGCTAGAAACAGAAGATGATGACACAACTGGAAGATGACTCAAAGCAAATGCACTTACCATATCCAACCTCAGAGCACATTACAACAACTGTGAACACACACACACACACACACACACACACACACACACACACACACACACACACACAGTCACACAGACAAACACACACACCGGCACACAGACACACACACACACAGAGACACACCGACACACACACCGACACACACACCACACACACCGACACACACCGACACACACACAGACAAACAAACACACACACCGACACACACACAGTCACACAGACAAACACACACATCGACACACACACACACAGACACACAGACCGACACACACACAGACAAACACACACACCGACACACACACACACACACCGACACACACACCGACACACACTCACCGACACACACACAGTCACACAGACAAACACACACATCGACACACACACACCGACACACAGACCGACACACACACAGACAAACACACACACCGACACACACCGACAACACACACACACACACCGACACACACACACACACACACACACACACACACACACACACACACACACTCAAAGACTGCAAGCACTACTATTTAGAAATACTTATGGCTATTTTACTAATATATATTTAGACTGTAAGTGTAAATATGCACATTGACACTGAATGTTATCTCGTTGCACTGTCATCGCTACTACCTCTTCTTTTAACACTCTTATTTATTTATTGTGTCTATCTTTTACTGCAGTGAGAGTTGCCCAAGGAATTTCGTTGTACTTTGTATGATGACAATAAAGATATATTCCTTATCCTCTGTCGACCCGGTAGGTTTCTCCATTCTTTGGCACCATCTACAACATGATGTACTTCACAGCAATGGTCGCTGAGCAGGCCCGCGCCAATGGAGGCCGCTGGGTCACCGGTCAGATCCTCGGTGAAACCAAAGGTGGCTTTGAATTTGAAGGTTTCAATCAGCTTCTGGAGGCCAACAGTGACGGTGAAGGCATGCAAGCTCGCTATGTAGTGCTGGACTACAGTGGCATTGGCAACTCTCTCTACTCAACTCATATTATGGAAGCTGGCAATACATACAGTGGGGTCGGGAGTTTGAAATACCTCGGCCGTTCGATCCATTTTGCAGGAAGCACGCCCTACACTGACTCCAGCTGCTGGTTCAGCTCATACTTTGCCTGTACTGGAGGTGAGTACAGTAGAAGTAGTGTCACCACACAAGAACGTTTGGAATAATTCAGCATATTCAGACTCTCTTTCTGTTTGTCTTCTCTTCCCAAAGGCATGGATACAGCCACTACGTTCTTTTTTCTCCTCGTGTTTGTTCCAGTAGTTGGATGTGGAGTTCACTTATTCCTTCATTTAAAGTAAGTACAGAAGAATATCAAGAAGTCATACCTCATCCGGTGAGATCTTTCTAAATATTCTTCGTTATTTTTGGGTTTATGCAGAAAAAATGGTAGGATTGGGTTCAGTGTTGGAGGTGGTGGTGCTGGCAGTGGATCAACGAAGGTTATCCTGACTCTGGACGACCTGATCTTCATCAACACTCAAATCAGCAAACGGGTCAGTTCTGAGCTGAATCTCTGACAATAACAACTGTGTTCTGCATCCTTCGCCTTGCAAGGATTAGAAGTATCAACGTTGTATCTACTCTAAGATGACCAGTCCTTTCTTAACTGTGTGTGTGTGAGCAGAAGATCAATGATGAAAGTATCCTGAAAAGCCAGCTCGATATGAAAACGCCTCAACACTCGGTTTCCGGTCGGAGCTACATGGCAACTTCTGCAGACATGTCCAATGTTGCTGTGTTCGAGGTGAGGCGAGCCCAACACATGTAATACATTCCTGTTATATAATATTGCTGCTTTATGCCTTTGGATGTTCTTGGTTTCACAAACACTGTGGTTTTGTAGGGTGACTGGGTTTGGTTGAAGAAATCGGCCAATGGAGCTGTATCGAGTGTCAACGGAAACACTGAGCATATCTTTATAAAGGTAAGTGAATGTGTGTGTTATTAGTACATCTCCAAGGATTAGGGATATAATATTGGTTTGGATTGCTTGTTTGTGTGTATGAAGTATTATGGAAAACTAATGGCCTGATTTTCAATAAACGTTGTGTAATAATAATAATAATAATAATAATAATTTCAATTTATATAGCGCCTTTCACGAAACCCAAGGACGCTTTACAATGGGAAGTAACACAACAAAAAGTAATAATAATCATATAGATACATAGGCTGAAGAAAACAAAACAGGAACAGGTTGTTGAGTACTGTATATTAGTTGAGGCCAAAGGCCTGAGTGAACAGGTGTTTTTTGAAGGTGTCCAGAATGTCTGCATTCCTGATTGCAGAGGGGAGAGAATTCCAGAGGGTGGGGGCTGCGACACTGAAGGCTCTGTTGCCAAATGTTTTCAGCTTGGAGCGCTGGATGGAGAGCAGCCCTTTTTCAGACGACCGCAGGTGACGAGAGGGGGTGTAGGGCTGAAGGAGGTCAGAGATGTATGGAGGGGCTAGGGAGTGGAGAGATTTGTAAGTTAGCAGGAGGAGTTTGTACTGGATGCGTTACTTGACCGGGAGCCAGTGAAGGTGGATGAGGGTAGGGGTGATGTGTTGCCAGGGCTTAGTGTGGGTGAGGAGCCTGGCTGCAGAGTTCTGGAAGTACTGGAGCCTGTCCAGGGCTTTGCTGGTGATCCCCGAACAGAACTCCATTGCAGTAGTCCAGAAGAGAGGAGATGAAGGTATGAATTAATGTTTCTGCAACGGGGTCTGGGAGAGAGGGCCGGAGTCTGGAGATGTTTCGTAGGTGAAAGAAAGCGGTTTTGACAGTAGACCTGATGTGGGAGTTGAAGGTGAGGCTAGAGTCCAGAGTGACGCCCAGGCTGCGAACCTCAGGGGAAGGGTGGATGGAGCCGCCATCGATGGTGAGGAGCAGATCTCCAACCTTCCGGAGCAGTGTTTTTGGGGCCACAACCATGAGCTCTGTTTTGTTATTGTTGAGTTTATGTAGATTTTTTTACATCCAGGCTTGGATGTCGCGGAGGCAGTTGACAAGTGACAGTGGGGGTAGCTGGGATGATGGATTGGTACTGATGTAGAGTTGGGTGTCGTCGGCATAGGAGTGGAAGTTGAGACCATGTCGGCGGATGATTTCACCGAGGGGGAGTATGTAGATGTTGAATAGAAGGGGGCCGAGCACCGAACCTTGAGGCACACCTTGGTTGACAGGGGCTGGGGGAGAGCTGGATTTTCCGAAGGTCACAAACTGTTGCCTGTTGGAGAGGTAGGAATGGAACCAGGAGAGGGCTGTACCAGAGAGGCCAAGGTAGACGGATAGGCGGTTGAGTAGGATAGTGTGGGAGACTGTGTCGAATGCGGCGGAGATGTCCAGGAGGATAAGGATGCTGACGAGGCCTGAATCGGCGGCTATGAGGAGGTCATTGGTTATTTTAATAAGGGCCGTCTCTGTGCTGTGGTTGGATCTGAAGCCTGATTGGAAGGCTTCGTAGAGCTCATGGTCGGACATATGATGGTGTAGTTGGTGAAGCATGGGCCAAGGAAGAACTTAAAGGGGACCTATCATACAAAATGCACTTTGTGATGTCTTTTATACATAAATATGTGTCCCTGGTGTGTCGGGGAACTCACGCAGCGTCAGAAAATAAAACCCTCTCTCTTTTCCTCCGTACCCAAATCTTTTAAAAACGGGTGTACAACGAACTGACGTCAAATCGGCAGCGGACCCACAGAAAGTTGCTATCAGAAACAATGCCTGACGTGTTTTGGACGTCTTTGTTTACATTAGCAAGCCTCGCTAACACTCAGAGCTAACCTGTACTGAAGAGCACGTGTTTAAAAAGCAGGAAATAAAAAAAGAACTCACCTTGTGATAAACCTGCAAGAGAAAAAGCATTTGAGCTCCATACTGTTTCACAAATAATCCTTGACGTGGTTTAAACAGGATGGTGTTTTATCTCAGCAGAATTTTACTTTCTCTCCGGTAGAAAATCTGATCAGGCATTAGCTCCGCCTCCTCTTCTTCTTTTTTTTCAGGCTAAGGACCCAAAATCCGCGTTTCTCTAACAGGGCTTCAAAAGAGGGGTTTGAGCAGTATGAGAGATGGCTACAATGGGTGAACTGTTTGGTATTTTGAAAAAAAAACTTCACAGACATTTTTTACATAGGTATGGCCCTACAATATATTTTCAAATATAGCATGATAGGTCCACTTTAAAGCATCTTAGACCAGATAATCAATGGTTGATATCTGCAATCTGCGAGTAGCCTGACTTCAAATGTTGCCAGAAAACACCAAATAAAGCGGGCTTGGTCTCTAAATGGATATTCCTCTTGTAACGTAAAGTTACTTGATGTTTCCTTTGTCTTCCAGCTCAGAGACATGAGGCACGAGAACCTCAATCTGTTCCTGGGACTGTTCTTCGACTCTGGGATCTTTGCTATTGTGACCGAGCATTGCTCCAGGGGCAGCTTGGAGGATCTGATCAACAACGAGGAAGTGCGTCTCGACTGGATGTTCAAGTCCTCCCTGTTAATGGATCTGATTCGGGTAAGAGAGACACAATGACCAACATGTGTTTCCTTTCCCATCTTGTCACATTTCCTCACCCTTCACATCTTTTATCAGGCGATGAAGTACCTCCACAATCGGGGCGTCATCCACGGACGACTCAAATCCCGAAACTGTCTGGTAGACGGTCGCTTCGTATTGAAGGTGACAGATTATGGCTACAATGAAATTGTGATTACCCAAGGCTTAGAAACTGAAGAGGAAAATAATGAGGGTGAGTTCATGTGAATCCACAAATGAATTTACTATATTTGCAAATAGTCTTTCTTTATTCATCTTTGCATATTTTTGCTCGTTAAAGATCTGCTTTGGACGGCTCCTGAGCTGCTGAGAAGTCCCATTCTGAGGAAAAGGGGAACTTTCCCAGGAGATGTCTACAGCTTCTCCATCATTGGGCAGGAGGTCATCTGTCGCTCCTCACCCTTCTGCATGCTAGACATGCCACCCAAGGGTGAGTGAAATGTAACCCTAAAGGCCGGTTACTTAACCTCTTTAGCCCCACGTACCCGCCGAAGGGGCCGAAACCACAACATCTGCAAGCAGCAGTGTCTGAGGGCTTCTTAAAATGTAATAAACTATGAATGTTTCATATCCATGTGACGGGAAGAAACTCAGCTAACTGATGATTTTTTTTTTTTTAGCAAAAATCAACACAAGGCTAACGCTGTGCCTCTGAATTAGCCCTGTGCGAACAAATCTTATGGCCGTTAGCACAGAACTCTAGTTATACCGATCGATATACTTATTGGATCTGCACAAACAAGCTTAGATACGTAACATCTTGAGAGTCCACAGATTATAGAAATATAAGGATCATCACATCACTGACAGGGGAAGCAAATACAGACAACACACAATGTAGCTTTAGGTAGCAAAACACGGAGATATGCTCACTTTAGCTGTTATTCTGATCAAAAGTCGTGTTCAATGGCATTAAAACGAGAAAAAACGCGGCTGAAGGTTAATCCATAGGTTAATCCAATGTGTCTGTCACTTTGAAAAAATTATTGATAATCCATAATTACATTTTATGCAAAAATCTGAGAATAAAAATTAGCTGCTAATGGTAGCCACCAGAGTGTGTTGCAGATCCGCTTTTGGCTGCGCATCACTCTTACTCCTTATTTGCTAACCTGTGTGTGTATATGGAACTTTCCCTCGATTCCATTGGCTCTAGCGGTTAAAAAGAGATGTCAATCATCAAAATCAAACAATGGGTTCCAGAGAAACGGCAAAAACGCCCATTTCCACCCAAATGGCCCCAGAGGTGGAGTTTTTTTTGCTAAACCGCTCTAAAAAGGTAAAATATCAGGGTACTTATTATATATTGTACTTTTGGATTCCTAAAGCTTTTAGTCTACCTACCATCATCCAAGGTAGTTTTCACTATAAGTAAAAAATAATTTTTGGACGGACACTATAATTTACAGTTTTTTACCATGTTCAATCTGAATTTACTTTAAAATAAAAAACATCTATATTGATTCTGACTTGTCTACATCCAACTCACAGGTTTATCATTGCTTTGAGAAAAAAGATTATTAATTTTCCCCTTTTAGAAGTGTAGTTATGGTCATTTGTTCTGGAAATGTCATTTTCGAGCCTGAGACCTGAAAAACAGGCTTGGGGCCTAACAGGTTAAAGGGAAACAGTGAAAAGTAAAAAGTGTCGGGGCTGGGTGCACAAAGATTGATCATATTTCCAATCATTGTCTTGTCTGTGTGTGTTGACAGAGATTATCAGCAAGCTCAAAGAGCCTCCTCCATTGTGTCGGCCTGTCCTCTCATTGGACACAGCCCCGTTGGATGTGATACAGATTTTGAAACAGTCCTGGAGTGAAGAGCCAGAGAAAAGGCCGACCTTTGAGGAGATCTTCAAACACGTAAACCCCTAAAAACACAAGTTGTTGTACATCTATTTTCCGTTCTGATGAAACTGGCAGATGACGTTCCTGTTTCCTCCTTTTTCACCTGACAGTTCAAGAACTTCACCAAGGGAAAGAAGACCAACATCATCGACTCGATGCTGCGGATGTTGGAGCAGTACTCCTCCAACCTGGAGGATCTGATCAGAGAGAGGACGGAGGAGCTGGAGGTGGAGCGGCAGAAGACCGACAAGCTGGTGGCTCAGATGTTGCCCAAGTGAGTGTGCAACAACTTGGATTAGCTCAATGTGGAGGGAATTCTTAAGAGAAACTGATAAGTGATTCATGGACAAAGTTTGTCTTTTGTTATATTTAATAAAGTATTAAATAAAGTCAATATACAAGTGATATCGATCTCAAATGCAGGAACAGAGCAACTTCATCCTCAGAGGACAGAGAAGTTCAGCACCCAGAACACAGCTTACAGTCCCACTATATACCCCACTGGTCCCATCATTAAAGCATAAAACCCCCTTGTCCTTAACTATTTCCAAATCCCCCTTTCACTCTTCGGTTTGCCCTCCTGAAATGTCAATCCTACACATATGTCTCTGTTAAACACATACAAGACTAAAAGGCAATCAGGGTATAAGACTATATGTTTCAAATGATTGTATGATAATTTCACACAACACACAACATGACAGATGTATTGAAACTGTGATGTCATAGTGGAGCCATTTAGAGCCTCAGCACAAATACAATATTATATGTTATTATATGTCCTTTTACTTCCTTAGGGAGGTCAAAGACAGCCTCCTCAAAGCTGGCAGGGGTTCAGATCTGTGTTTAACAGCAGGGGGGCTCCAACTTCATTTACTGTTGTGCTTTTCTGCAAGGATTAAGTTAATGATTCTCAGGAACCGTGGAGACCAAAGCAGATACATCAAGACCACAGAGAAAACCATGGTGCTGTCAGCTTTTGAGGAAAAACCTCAATAAATGAATTCCTCATCTTTCTTTTGTCATATCTCAAACATGTGGCTTTATTTATGCTGCATTCAGAAACTGAGGGAATATTTGGTTATATGATATGGAGGGGATGGTGTTTGTCCAAATAAAACACTATCATTAAAACCTTTTATAAGAGGTTTCATGTCATCAAGTCCTGCATATAGACTCTTATTGCACTATTTCACTTTTTTAAACTATTTTCTGCTTGTATTTACTATTTACTTGCACTATATTTGTCTGTTTATCTGTTTTTTGTGTTGCACTCTCGGAGAAGCCAGTGACACAAGATTGTAATCGACATAACTACACTGTAGCTATGTTCGTTTGACAAAGAACCTTGAACCTTGCTGGGAGATGTCACTTAAATGTGTCCATCTGTTTCTATGAGAGGGTATCTTTTGTATACTTTTTGATTCATTTTATAATTTTTAGCTCGACTGATGACATTTTTTGTGTTATTAATAGAATTGTCTTTCCCTAAAAGTCACAAAGGGAAGCCTCGACATACTCAACTATGCTCATAGTTTAGAATTTAGCATAACAGAATGTATCTTAATAGATTAATAAAAACAAATGCATTTGAAAAGAGAAAGGTGGTTCTCCGGTTGTACACTGCCAGTCCGCCCGTTAGAAAATAATGATTAATCAGCGGTTGCGAGGACCTGCAGATCATGTTTATTTTGAGATAAGAACGGGACAGTGGTTCCAATGTCAGTTAGTGCTGGAGAATGAAATCCTACAGATGACTTTGAGCCGTCTTGTGAGAAGACTTCAGCCTCTCAGCATTTTGAAATGTTTATTTCTTGTCTTTTAATTGTATTGAACAATGCCATGTCTTTGTATGCTGCTGCAACACAAACATTTCCCAACTTGGGATCAATAAAGTACTTCTTATCTTATCTTCATCATCCTCTTCCTCCCTCAGGTCTGTGGCCCAGGCGCTGAAGACGGGCAAGCCGGTGAAACCCGAGCACTTCGCCCAGGTCACGCTGTTCTTCAGCGACATCGTGGGCTTCACCACCATCTCCGCTCTGAGCGACCCCATCGAGGTGGTCGACCTTCTCAACGACCTCTACTCACTGTTTGATGCCATCATTGGACTGCACGACGTCTACAAGGTGAGCGCTGGGGGGTCTTGCAAAGAGTAACTATCTTTTCTGGATGATTTTAATACATTGAATTTATAGCCAGCTATTTCAACCTTAAAAGGCACAGTGGCTACAAGGACTTTTATTGCACATTTTCACTTCAACTTGAGTTTATATTAATAATATATTTATTTTCTTCTAATATGGTGCAAGTGTCACAAAACCTAATTTTCTCCGGAGAGCTTTACAGATAGCATATTTGGTTTTGGTCGTATCTTTTAAATATTATTTTCTGCATTTAAAAAGGTGTGACACACGGCACAGGTCTTCTGTAGGATATTATCATTTAGCTTTGGTAGATTTATTCATTTTTATTTGTTAATTTTTAGACAGAACTTCATTCAAGGATTATTTTCACAAATAGATATATTTCATGTCAAAATATCCACAAGAATTTGAGCTACAGTGTAGGAGTCTCTTTATTGTTAAAAGTTGCTGAAATCCTTCATCTATTGCTCCTTAATCAGATTTGAATTTATTCTAGGAAAACATTTAATCCAACAAGTAGTTATTTATCAAGATAGTTAATTTAACGTTTGGGGCTGGTGTGTTCCCTACAGCCAATAATTGTATAATTTCTAGATACGTATCTCAAGGAACAGGAGCTTGTGGTTTCAAGTGTTTTAATTGCATGAGAATTACAATCCCTTACAGAACCACAGATTTTTTTTGGACCATAAATTATGAAATCCTACTTTTTTCTAGCGTAGTGTTGTAGTGTCATCCTGTTCCTGTGGTCCTTTCAGTTGTTCCAAAAGACACAATGGGTTATCTTCTGAAGTGAAGTTCATAGAGAGGATACTTCATGCAGACATATGACTAAAAATAAAATATAGTCAAACACATGTCTCTCCAACTTTGCGGTGCTAAACCAGTAAGAGAAAACCCTCTCATTCTGAGTGTGACCGGCGGTGAACTCTGGTTTGTTCTGTTTTTATAGGTGGAAACTATCGGAGACCAATACTTGGTTGCGTCAGGAGTTCCCAACAGGAACGGGAACCGTCACGCGGCTGAGATGGCCAACATGTCTCTGGACATCCTGCACTGCATCGGGAGCTTTAGGATGAGGCACATGCCCGAGCTGAAGGTCAGGATCCGGGTCGGCCTGCACTCAGGTGAGCAGTCGGTTCATCCCTTCTGTGCTCTGGTGATTATTATAGGTGTCATTTGTCAAGATTCAAGGTGTTAGAAAAATATCACTCGTCGTCACCGGCTTGAGCTTCAATCTCAGGATCCATGTATTTGTGATCCTCTCCAGAAGTCATCACATACAGAGCATCAAGTAGTTCCTGAACAGTGTCCTTCACATGCTGATATCCAAGAGAGGGAGTTACAGTCACAAGATGGAGGAATAGAAAGCAGTCTTCAATGTTTACTTCAGATTAGCTCCACGTCAGAAATGAGCATGCTTGTCATATGTCTCTCTCCATAGAGGCTGAATCATCATGTTAATCACATAGCTATTATGCCTAAAACAGTCCTGATGCTCTTCTAGGTAATCACACATCATGTCATGTACTCAGCTACAGTTGGGATACCTTTGTTATCATGTGTACTCTGATATTGGAAGAGGACATTCAGTATTTTCCCAACACAAGGCTTTATTGTCATTTGTACAGTAGCTACAGTGTAGATATGGCAATGGAGAACTTACGTCACAGGCTCCTCCAACAGTGCAACATGAATATATCCAACTCCAATCCAATCAAACTCGATTTATATAGCACTTTAAAACCTTCAGACCAAAGTGCTGTACAGAGAGATAAGCTCACAAAACTCAAAATAAATACATTTATATTAGTGCTGTCAAAATTATCGCGTTAACGGCGGTAATTAATTATTTGAATTAATTGCGTTAAAATATTTAACGCATTTAACGCATGTGCAGAATGGCCCGCCCCATACGTGCCACCAGTGGCAGCGCCAGGGTATGGCTGGGGTAGGCTACACCCATACCAAGAAATGGCTTAGCCCCACCATGAAAAATGATGTTAAAGGAAGCAAAATAAAGTCTGCCAACTCGCGCGGAGTAAATTGCACAGACAGCAGTTAGTAAGATTGATTTCAGTAGCCACGGTTTTGAAAACTTTTGTCACGTAGTGATCGTCTTCTCAATAGAACATCTTTGATAACGGCGTGGTGTTGTTGCAGGAAGTCCCGACGGAGAATACTTTTGCTGTAGTACGGGGTGCACATAACTGGTACGCAGGTTATGTGCGTAATCTCTCTGAAATGCGTACCGTCACTTGTGTCACAAAGCGCATTTGCGTACCGACGTACTTGTGAAGCTTTTCCAGAAGGCGGTTGGATCACCGGACGACAGAGTCGGTCTCCGTGTGCACTGCACAGACAGGGCTGCTGTTAACGTCGGTCTGTACAACGGAATTGTGCCAAAACTACGCCAACCGGCTGCGGAGGGAGACTCCCCCCCTTCACTGGAGAACTGCGCTAAAACAGCTGATCACAACGTGCACACTCTGTGGTCACGAAGTACTCCACTAGCGCGCCCCCCCCCCGTCGACTTGCCGTACTCCCCCGTTGATAGAAATCAACACGTAATGAATTAAGACCCCACGGTTTGGTGATTGATAGGTGTGTGGGTTGTCTTTCATTTTGACACACATAACAATGTTATAATAAACATAGATACTGTGTGTTAAATGGATATATCCGCCTTCTTTCATTTATCTTTCCATTCCCACAACAATATAAATAAATGGCATATTTTGGACATAGTTCGAATGGTGATTAATCATGATTAATTATGTTTTAAGCTGTGATTAATCTGATTAAAAATGTTAATCGTTTGACAGCCCTAATTTATATATATATAGGACATATAACAAATAAAACAGATACAATAGTGCAAGAGAATGTTTTGAGATGAGCAAGTAAATACAAATAAAATAGAAATAGTGCAAGAGGACTCTATATAGAAGTAAATCGAATATGATATATTAGATACATAGTTTTCAAGATGCAAACAGATGAACACACTGGGGACATGAAATGACTGAATGTATCCCTTTTATCTTTTAAAAATGTAATTTGTATAAAAAAAGCTCTGCAAAATAACACATTGGATAAATGAAGTCAGATCATTCAAAAACATATGTTTTGCTTATTTAATATTTGCAAGACATATTTTGTATTACTGGCTCCTTTAACATGTTATCCTGATTACTGCAAAAGGCCTTTATGACTTTCTTTACTGATAGACATGTGTCAGTCTAACTTCTTATCTAAAGACAAAACCTTTGTTTAGATGACTTGTTTCAATGGTAACTATAAAGATGCATCGGGGAAATGATCTTGGGTTTCAAAACATCAGCAAAACTAGAATTCATTATTTTTTAAGTCGATCATTTAATGAGGCATTCTTGTCAGCAAAAGGCCATGGGATCCACATGTTCTTCACATTTCTGGAACCAGGAAATGTACGAACAAACGACTTTCAGAAAGGTTTATATGCACAATAAGAAAACATAAAATGCAATGTAAACATAGAATGTATTAATGTGCATTATCCAAATATTAAATAACCAATATTAATGCAGGTACTGATCAATATGACATGTTGTATGTCTTCTTGTTTTTTCATACATTGCCTAAAATGTTGATGACCATATCAAAATGATTCACATGCATGTCTAATATAGCGTGAAATAACTCCAGACTCCACCCCAGAGTGTTTGAAAGTGAATTTGTTAAAGAGAAATGCAGGAGCCCAAGCTGCTAAAGGAAAGGAGGTATTTTTACCTCCTTTATCCTTCGTCTGGAACTTATTCCAGGAACAGTGACACAATATCCACTTAGAGCGCTGTCATCCAATTAACACACTGCATGCTTTGGATTTCTAACTCCTTCCTACGAGTTTCCTTCTATTGCTTCTCCCTTTCGAAGAATTGGCCTTTCTGTCCTGAGCATACATATTAAGAGGAAATCAAATGCAGCCAAAGTAAAAGAAAACATGAAAATACAAGAACTACAATAACATAGGAAAAGAAACGTAACAAATACTACAGCACATGTTTTCAATATAATATAACACTTTTTGGAAGGATGTGCACAAATATTGATAGAAGAATGTGGAGAAGTTCACAGTAAAGAGCCACAATTTGACACGTAAAATATTGAGCCTACGAGAAGCGTCAGATAAACGTGTGTGTGTATTTATGTGTGTGTGTGTTTGCAGGCCCAGTGGTGGCTGGAGTGGTGGGTCTCACGATGCCTCGGTACTGCCTGTTTGGAGACACTGTCAACACAGCATCTCGAATGGAGTCCACAAGTTTGCGTGAGTATCTCAAACATCCTCATACAGTATTGATCAGACAGATCTCCTTCTTTTAAAACATGTTTTTGTTAATTGACAGTGTTTGAGAGGACAGGTGTAGTTCTTCTGTGTGTGTGTGTGTGCATGCTGCCTTAAGCTGAACAGGGCTTTAAGAGAGCAGTCCTCGCTAATCCTTTAAGAGTATCAGCAGAATTAGAGGGCAATTTGAGTTAGATTTGATTAGAGGGCAGTTTGCCCCTGCTACCCTCTGCATGGTATATTAATTAAGTATGACCCTAAGTGGAAACGGCTAAGTACACTTTACTTATGGTTAAAAATACCCACATCTGATAGCGCTCCCAGAACATTATAGAGTAATAAATGAAAGTAATCACCTTTAAACTAATCAGTGGAAGTCTAGCTTGCTATATCTTAAATGCAGAGCTCGAAAGTGTTCATTCATGTACTGAATTAAAATAAGTTGATTATGCAGATGTAATCCTACCCTTCTGTTTTTCAGAGGAAAATCTTTTGTTACTCTTTTTACACCTCTACAACAGCTACATTTAGCTAATTTTAAACTATTTTAAAAACAGAGGATCAGGTTTAAAATGCTTTGTAACAAGGCTGAAAAAAGGGCTTTTATTTCCAAAGCTCGTGGAAAGTTTACTGTTCACCCACACAAGACTTGATGCATTGTTGAAGATTAAACTCATCAACAATTTTCAAAGAAATACAGTTAGCCCAACCTTAAACATCTACAGCAGATAATTGGTTCAAATGTAAACGAATCCATGAATGCAGCAGTGATATAAGCAGAGCAGGGTTTCCGTTAGCCGGTAATTACCGGTTTTTAGCTGGTAACATTTATTAAAAACCGGTAAATTCAAAACCTGCCGGTCAAAATGTCTGGTAATAATTAGGGAGGCTCCGATAGATCGGCCGCCGATCATTATCGGACGATATTCACTCTTAATAGTTTGATCGGTGCTCTCTATAAAGGACGATCAGGAGAGCTGGATCTGATCGATATGGACATAAACGCGAGTGAAGTATAACCGGACACGAGAGAGAGATCAGATCAGCTGCTGAGTCAGACAGAGACACGCAGCTCTGCATGATCACCTGAAGCCCCGCCTCTGTTTAGCTGCATGAGAAACTGACGGGCTGTCAGGAGAGAGAGGGAGGGAGAGGGGAAAAGAGAGCATCCGTTTCTCCCGTGTTATTATTCAAAGTTGATGTAAACTTTTGAATAATGTACTTCATCTACTACAAGTAGTTTGTTTGAATGTAATAATTATGTTGTTTGTTGTTTGTGGAATCATTTATTGGAAAATTAATCTGAATTGTTCGATCTGTTACGATTATAAACTGAAGCAATATAAAAACGAGCCCCATTAACTGAGTTTTAAACATCAGCATATCCGCTCATAGTCCGGTAATTACCTGCTAACGGAAACTCTGCAACACAACTCTTATTATTATTAGTGAAATATGACCGGTAAGTTTCAAATTTGTCCGATAAAATTAATTCTGCCCGGACATTTGACCGGCGAGAAAAAATCCTAGCGGAAACCCTGAAGCAGAGGTGGGAGAAGTACTCAGATCTTGTACTTGAGTAAAAGTAGAAGTACTCAGATCTTGTACTTGAGTAAAAGTAAAAGTACCAGAGTGTAGGAATACTCTGTTGCAGTAAAAGTCCTGCATTCACAATGTTTCTCAAGTAAAAGTAGAAAAGTATTCTCATCAAAATATAGTGAAAGTAGCGACAGTAAAAGTAGTCATTGTGCAGATTGGTCCATTTCAGAATAATATATATGATATGTTTGATAATGATTGATCATTAAAGTGTTCTCAAAGCTGGTAAAGGAGCAGCTAGTTTGAATGACTTTGTATACTGCAGGGTAGCTTGTGAATTTACTCCAGGTGGAACTAAAGTCTGATTCAACACTTGATTAGATTTAACATCATTCATCCACATCTGTAAAGTAACTAAAGGTATTAAAAAAAAGTACGTAAATCTACACCTCTGGATATAAGAACCTTTCTGCTTCTCTTCGCTGTGTTTGTTAGCCATCAGTGTGTAGACTGCTGCCACCAAGTGGCGTAATGATAAACAGAAAGTCGGCCTTTCTAAATCTCTTACAATTAGTTCAAACCTTAGAAAGTGTCAAAGCAAATATAGATTTCACATTTACAATTATCCACATTTTTCTCTTTTCTTTTATAGCTTTCAGAATCCATGTCAACAGAACCACAGTCGATCTCCTGAACACCTTGGATATGGGATACAAAATCGTCAGCAGAGGCATGACAGAATTAAAGGTAAAAAGAATAAAAACGTTTTAAAGGTCACCTATTATGCAAAATCCACTTGTTCATGTCTCTTCTACATCAACATGTGTTCCCTCTGTGGAAAGAGATTCTGAAAGTTTCAGGAACAAAGATTCTCTCTTTTTGTCCTGATCCATTTCTATAAAAACCTGTCTGAAAATGAGCTGATCAGATTTTGGCCACCTTATGATGTCATAACGATTTTTTGGCTTGTGTAAGCATTAACCAATTACCAACCAAGGTACCCCCCCCCCCCCCACCCACACCTTATCACCTGAATCTCCTCCTAGAGCACCATTGTGTTCTTTGTAACCAAATATCTCTCAGAGTGGCGTGGGGAGGGGCTACTTATTTTCATCTAAAGTAACAGACAGAGAATCAGCACTTTAGAAACAGGGCTGAAACAGAGGGGATTATGGGATGCTGCAATGATCTGTTTGGTGTTTCAGCCAAACACTTCAGAGCAGAGGTCGTGTTAACTGAATATTTTCCGTCCATGATGGATTTTCTTTAACAATGACGGAAAAATCTGAAAGCAGTCCGTCATTTTGACAGATTAGAACAAACTCGGAACAGCGCCAAAGTTTCCCCGCAGCGAGGCTCTGGTGTTATACCGTTTCCAAACCTAACTTTGCTGTACAAATCATTGAAATGTCTGTGAGTTTTGGCTTTACGCTGTGCGTGCTCCCGCGAGGTGCAGTGGACACCCACCCCCGTTGACAGTTCACGAGCGTGCTCTTCCCCCCCCTTTCATCAGAGTTGTGTAAAGGCCGACGGGTAATAATGGATTTTGACGGAAATGTTACGATCCTGTCCGTCAAAATGACGGGCAGCGAAAAAGTCTAGCGCGGACTGGGACTAAAAATCAGCTCGGGACTCTCTACCGGCCCACTTCAGTACCGGCCTATCGGGATTCGTCCCGAACGTCCCTATGGCCAGTCCACCACTGCTGAGACCTATAATATATTGATGAAAAACAGTATAATAGGGGACCTTTAATATATTCACAGAACACATGCAATGCACCCACTATAAGACCTGCATCCTGATAATGAATATTATCTTTAGGGAAAAGGGATTGAGAACACATATTGGCTGGTGGGGAAGGAGGACTTCGACAAGCCTCTGCCTATTCCTCCAGACCTTCCAGGGTAAGACAATGTTTTTATACTCCTCTATATTTTTATAATCTTGATTTCCTAGATTTGTAGCATAACTAAACAACTGTGACATAATAATATGGAGCTCCGAGACATAAAAAGCTGCATTTCCTTTTACAGGGGGATCAATAATGCTATCGCTTTAGAGGAAATTCCTGAGGACAGAAAACAAAAATTCCTGGATCGACAGAAGAAGATGACCTAGGCTGGTCTTTTCTTTCTTTTTTTACAAATGTCCCAGAATGAAAAGTTACATTTTGTAATTCAGCATTGGTTTTCAGTTTAGCAATACGCAGAGACGTGTGAAGGAAAAAGAAGACCCTGCAACAACCACAGTCTACAAAAATCCTGTCCATTAACTTGAGAATTCACACGTTTCTTTCAGGAAATCATTTCTGTGCTAAAATCATCTACTGTAGAAGTGGCAGCTGTCCAAATGATGTCAGTTCAACACACACAATAAGCATGCCGAGGATGAATTGCAGATCCATGAAGTGTTGGTTTAGACCTCAGTTAAGGGATTTGTGATTGATGTGTTCACAAAAGTAATCACTGTGTAAAATCCTGGTGTACTTCATGCACTGCAACTGTACTGTTTGTACTAGTATTTGTGCTTTGTAGAGATAATGGAGATATGCCATCCTAAACACACCATCTATTCATCTCTGATATAAAAGAGCACTCACTTTAGAAGCATTAGCCTTTTAAATAAACTACATTAAAACATGTTCACAGGGATTTGAGCAATGGTAGGTCAGTGAGAGAATAGGGCAGGTTTTACATTTGCTTTTATGTATTATCACTGTGGTCATTTACACATTTGATAAATGGGAGCAACATCATTCAATTTTGTTTTATTACTGGCTTCTTCAACAAGCCTATTTGATCGATTAGACTGATATATATGTTTCATTTTAAGCATGTCTAACAAAACTTAAATCACTTGTTTCAATGCTCAATGTAAAGACGCATCAGGGAAATAATCCTGGGGCAGCAAAGCTAGGGATAACTTTGAAAGAATCCAACATTTAATGACGCATTATTGTCAACAAAATGCCACGGGATCCACATCATATTCAAAACATTGATGTACGATGTGCACCACTATGTTTATTATCTTTATGATACTATATACATACAGTATGTATTGCTTTTTAATGATGTTTGTATTGCTTTAACCATTATGCTGACCAAATAATAGAAGACATACATGCAAACAGATCCAGACCACTGCTCACTAATGCATTTCACAATAACTTCATACATGTAGCATATTACTGAAACATGCTGCCTGCATTCCTGACTATACTGTACCGCTGTGTGTGTGTGTGTGTGTGTGTGCGTGTGTGTGTGTGTGTGTGTGTGTGTGTGTGTGTGGGTAACGTGGTCTGAGTGGGACAGACCTGATTTCTGTGACACTGATATGCAGAGAGTCAATGGGCGGAAATTATTATCTGCAATAATGTGCTTCAGCAGATTGAGCCTTCTCATGTGTATCGCTTTGGGAAAATGTACGGCCATCATTATTTTCTATCTGGATTCTCAGGGACCCCAAGCTGTATCCGAACGTCCTCTGAGAACAAATGTCCACAAAGTCGCTCCCATGCCCAACCCCGGGGGATTTTAAAGATCATATGGGGGGTGCAGGCGTACAATAAGTGGGAGGACAGAGTCTTCTGAGTCATTCCTCTTTGGCTCAGGGATGTGTATATACTGTAAATTTGTACATAGTTAGTTTGTCTTTGTGTCCTGCAGGGTTAGGGACTTTTTAGTGGAGTTTCTTTGGTTCCCTAAACCCCTGACACAAAGGGAGATATGAGCAGAACATAAAGGTTTAATCACAGTGCAATGAAATTGTATGCTACTGCATTGTTAACTCACTCTGTGTTGGCTTGCTAATTGTCTGCCGCAGCACTGATATTAAAGCAACAATAGGCCGGCAATGTTAGAATGAGATTTATCTCCGACTACAGTTTCAGTCCGTGGCATTGTTCATCCTTGGAAACTTACTTTTTGACTACTTTTAACATAGACAAAATAAAAAATCAGAAGACTTGATTATCAGGCTTCTTGTGGTGAAGTATTTCACACCATTGAATGTTTAGCGCTGGCTCTTCAGGAATAATCTAACTTTTGCCGAAGATGATTCAGAGTCCAGATAAGGAACATATCCAAATGTTTCTCTGACGGTATCCAAATAACTAACTAAGTTATTCTATATCAATTTGCCAAATAGACTGATCTCATCCAAGTTGAACGGACTGTATTGTTCATTTTGAAAGTGTTCTCAATGTGTTTCTGTAAATAAAATATGATTTTAGTGAAGCTTGAGACTATGTGTTTGTGTCATTGCCAGTCCTTGTGTGTTGAGGCTGTTTTCCCAAATGGTGCACTGGCAGCATAATAAATGATGATTCAAACCAACTGCCCCAATAAATCACGCGTTTAATAGGCAAGTAAATCACTATTTAAATGTTAGTACTACAAATGATACTACAAAAAAAATGATAGTATAGTATGTTAAATAAAAATGCAAAAGGTCTATATTGTGAACATATCTTATAAAAGTCATTGTATAGCATGTTTTTTTAAATATAAAGAGTATACTCTGTTGAAAAAGTAATGAGTAAATGTGTAAAAATGAACATGAGTCATAGTATAGCATATTGAAAAACATGAAAAAAGTTGCTGTATAGGTATAGTAGCCTATGTCATTATGTATTTACATAGTATAGTACAGTATGTACAACTCTTAATGTTGACCTCAAATTGCACCACATTGGTTCCTTTAATTTTGAAATGCATCATTGAATATTATAATACAATTGTATTTTTGCTGTAATATTAGATTCCTAAAACATGACATATGGGGAGTTGTTATATAATCATAATGCCCATACACTGATCTACAACATATGCACTAATATGTAGAACCCTGACCTCTCACACAGTATGTTCTGCAGTTGTTCCTCCGGTCATTGGGGTTACAAAATAAGCTGAATTTAACTCAGAAATGGTCCAATATTACACGCAATCCCACGCAGTGTTCCCCGGCTGAACACCGTGTTCCTCAGCCAGCTGCAGACCTGAAGCCCCCCTGGTTCCTGACTGACTGGCACCGGGTGGAGGTGCCAGTCGAGCAGAAGTGAAGTCAGCCAGCGTGAGCAAAATGGAGACCGGAAACACATCAGGTAGTATTTCACAATAAAAGCATATTAGGTTGTGGTCACAAAAAACACAAAATAAGAAAATATGTAGGCTACTTTATTAATCCCAATTTGGGAATTGTTGTTGTTGCAGTAGCATAAAACAAAACAACCATTGCACATAATAACAAATTAAATGAGTAAACGAACAATTCTAAAATAGAAACATCTCAACATGGAAATATAATATCATACAACTGAATTTCCCCACCGGGACTAATAAAGGTCCATCTTATCTTATCTTAAATAGAAATAAACCAACATTAGAGAGTAAGATATATACAGATGATAAAAACTGTCTGACAAATAAAAACACTATTGAAGGGCCAATTTTCTGTTAACACATTATAAACATCACAAGAGGTGATTTATTGAAACATGAAGCTACGGCCCTGTTAGGGTTTTCAGAATAAGATCAGTTAATGCAAGAACATTTACAGGACTGTGACAGCTAAAGAGAAATCAACATTTAAAGTAATTTTTATTATTATTAAGTTATTTTTATTAAAATATATTATTTATTCATTTAGTAACCATTAAAGTGACAACAAGTAGGTTTCACCGCAGGGTCGCTGTACTCGCTGACTTAGTTACCTCCTGCATCATGAGGTAATATTGAGTGCCTGAAAATACAGCATTGGAAAAGGACATGGGTAGGCCTTATTCAATTCGGTCATGCTTTTATTTTTGAAACATCTCCACCGGAGGTTCTGCTGCATCGCCCCCAGCTCGACGGTGGGGGTGAGCTGACTGTGGGCAGCATCAGACAGGTGGAGGAGTCCCCACAGCTGAACTGCGGTGAGACTCTGGGCGGCACCGGGCTGCAGGACGAGCCGCGCGGACGCTGTGCTCGCGGTGCGCGGATCTCCTGCAGCAAATACTGGATCCTCAGTATGATCCCAGATCCAGAACATGCTTTGGCTGTTTTTCCCATCCTGAGCCTTCTCACACACGCTGGACACATCAATGTGGACGCGGGGAGGACGAGGGATGTAGTTGCAATGGATTAACGAGGGGTACACATGGGCACCGATTTTTTTCCACAGATTATTGGCTTCTAATATTTTCCACCCTGTCTTGGCCATGGAGAACCAAGCAGCCGAGCCGCAGAACTATGAAGATGTACAGAAAAGCGGATATCTCCGCAAGCATAAATCAATGCACCGGCGGTTCTTCGTGCTGAGGGCGGCCTCGGAGCATGGTCCTGCTCGACTTGAGTATTATGAGAACGAGAAGAAATTCCGCAGTAAATCACCTGTGCCCAAGAAAGTCCTGAACCTGGACACCTGCTTCAACATCAACAAGCGAGCAGATTCGAAGAACAAGCACATGATAGTCCTTTACACCCGCAGTGAGAGCTTTTCCGTGGCTGCAGACAGCGAGGAGGTCCAAGATGACTGGTACCAGGCAATGCTGGACCTCCAATGCAACTGTAAGATATGAGAAGTGTGATTTCTGCTGTCTGTTTCTGCATCAGGCCTATCCTGCCGTAGGCTGTTTGTTCTCCACACTATTTTTGCTCGGCCATTCCTGGTTGTTAATTGCATATCACTGGCTCGAATTGTTTTTTTATTATCATTATTTCTGCAGCTCTAGTTTCTAGCCATTTCATTTAAATAGATCGGTTGTGTGCTATTCTGATGGTGCGTTTTAAACCAAGAGGCAGGTGGATCCCACTGATCGGGGTAAACCAACACGCTATGGGCGGCATGTGTTGTGTTTGCGCTGCACAATTCCAATCAGCGTTGCTTTAATACATTCAGAACCTGCGGATCCTTTTCTGTCAGTAATATGTAACATGATGCATGAAACAGCAACTGTATGTGATAATATGTACACGATCAGCGTTTCGGACTGAAATGCAGCCCGTTTTATACGACGGTGTATTTTTTTTTGCATGGCGCAGTGGGCATATAGCAACCATCCAAAGGATGCATCATATAGTAGTAGCCTATCGTGGTGCACTCCGCTGGATCCCGTGTTTTTGTTTTTCTGCACA